AAAACAGTGAGCCGCGAAAATTCGACTCTCATGCCTTTGATAATAATAATAATATATAATGTATAATAATAATGATACACATAATAATAATAATAATAATAATAATAATAATAATAATAATAATAATAATAATAATAATGGGAACGGTTTCATTTTCCGAAAAACACAAAATGAATAACATATTACTATAAAAAACAAAGTGCATTATGAATTAAAATGATAATCTAAATTACTCGCCATAAAACAAATAGGTACAAAGAGAAATAAAAACGGTATAAAATTGAGTTCAAATTGCGTTTCTGTCACAGTAAATAGCAGATGATGACGATATAGCTGAATAGTTAAGAAATTGATCAGTCCATGTAAAATTAATTAAGGACAATTTAAAAAATTTAACGAGACCCAAAGGTGAAATTTCAAATGTATTTATTATTAATTTTGAATGTTTCAAATGCTTGATCAAGTTATTGTGCAGGTTTACCTTGTATTTTGATGTTTTGTATTCTTTTGATTTAGATAAGTTTGACTCGTGGCAGACAGTTAACTCCAGTATTTCTTACGAATTTGAACAACACCTCTGGCAAATCGACTGTGAACTTCGACCATTGAGCAACTTTAATTTCAGGAATATGATCTTTTATTGCTTTGACTATTACTCCTTGGCATTGGAGCGACGACAGATGAGCAAAGTCGGTTTCATGGTGACGCGTCATTAGCGCTTTGAGTGTTGGATTTAATTCTTTTAAATCAGATAGGATGTTGTCTACTTTGATATAGTTGTTGTGAGATTCATTCCATAAGCATTTTATTTTGTCATTTTTGTTTCTCTTTCTCACACCAAGTGAGCAACACCTGTCGATCCTCATAATCATTCCAGTTGCGTTGCACCAGGCTTGGTTCAGGTCAATCAACCTTTGAGCACTCTTTGTGCTGTTAGCAATGATAGCCGTGTCATCGGCAAACTGAAGCCAAGCTCTAGTCTTTAAACTAACTGTGGGACCACATATGTAGCCTCACTGTTGAAATTTACTCTTTTCGATTAGTTTCATCAGTGGGTTGAAGCATAAATTGAAGAGCAATGGAGAGACGGAATCGCCTTGAAGCACACCACGTCTAACCGGAATAAGGGGAGCTAAACTATCAAAACCAGCAACGGAAATTGAGTAATCGGCATACACGAATTTAATTAGATTCGTTATCTGGGATGGAATGTGATGATGATCTAAGGCAGAAGAAATGAGTTGTGGCTGACTTCACCAAATGCGTTGAGAAGATCCAATAGTGTGACGATGATTGTACGTTGGTGTTTCTTCGCATCGTTGATCATGTGTGATAGTACCTGAGTATGTTCCGTCAAGCCGTCAACTTTTGGGTAGAACCCTTTTTGAACATTTCTGTTTATTAGGGTATTTATTTCTAGAAATCGATAAATTCTATTGTTGATGAATGTTGAGAGTATTTTATAAAGTGTTGGTTGTAATGTTATTGGTCGAAAATTTGATGAGTTGTTGGCATCATCTTTTTTGTGAATTAGGATTGTAAATCTTTTTTTCCAACATGAAAGGATAGTAGAGGATGACCAACATTGACTTGATAATCGGTGGATTACAGTTCTAAGTATTGGGCATTTTTTGAATGGTATTTTTGAAATTTTATCAAGTAGACAAGGGGATGATTTTGCTTTATAATTTCGTATTATTGTTGACATTTTGTTGTAACTTTGGGGTTTTGTGTTGCAAGGTGTTGTTGGCGTTAGTGGTTTTGTGAACCAGTTTGGAAATTGATTTTTGTTGTTTTTATTGTTGTTTAAAATTTAGTAAAAATAGTTCTTACATTCGTTAACATTGAATATCGGACTCACACTTTTTGTTGCAGTAAATGTCTTCCTGCAGAACCACCAGAATAGTCGTTTAAGCTGGGTTGTTGTGTCGTGTTACTGTTTTGAAGCGAAAGATTTTGTTGACAATTTCGACTTCAACATTTTGCTTACTGAACTAATTTGGTTGTCGAAACGGTGGTTGTTGTGGCCCAACTGTTTAAGTTGTTTTAATTCTTTTTTTTAATAACTTAATGGGTCTGTTTACGTTGATATCCGATTTAGTTTTAATATCGAAAATTATATAGTTGGAGGAAAAGTAATTGTAAATCATTGTTTGAAACGCTGTTGTGAGTTTATCTATGTTGTTTTAACTTGGTAGCGTTTGTTGATGAAGTTGAAAATAAGCATTTGTCTCTGACCACTGAGCTGGGTTTTTTGGTAGTCTGATACCAAGGAGAGGCGTGGCTTATTGGCGACGACTGTTGCTGGACGTTTGACGACGTTGACGGCAAAGAATTTGTATTAATTTTTTCTCTTTTTCAGACAGTTGAAGACTTTTGTGAACTTTGCAAGAACGTTGGTGCATTTTCAGTCCTTTCCTGTCCTTGCAATATTTTCCGCAACAACAAGGAATTAAATTAGAATCCATATTGACTGAATAATCTTTTAACAAACTTTAATTGAAAGTGTTAGACGAAATATTAACATTGGAATCGGCAGGCGTGTTTACAACGTTAGGGTTAACTTTTTTTTACCCTTTTGTTTAGCAAAAACCAGGAGATCAAATAAGCGAGCTTGTGCAGATAACCTTAACTAAAATTGCACAAATTAAGTCAAACAGAATAAAAAAAATACCTAAAATAAACTTAATAAAAATTGTTACGAAGATTTCAATTTATAAAATAAACAGATATTCATACAACGCGGTATAATGTGAAAAAATAAAATTAAATCAAACCATTTTAAAGATAATTTCCTTGAGTGAAAGTTTGAATGACCTTATGTTGGTTATATTCACTTCATCTAAAGGCAGCTCATTCCATAATTTTATACCACAGAATGCTCAATGCCTGTCATTAGTTACTGTCCTACTTTTCAATAATTTAAACTTGACTTTTAGTTGTATTAATAATTAATTCAAATGTATTGAGATGTTGGTAGTTTTCCATATATAAAACTTTGTAGAAAAATATTAGTGTTTGATAGATATTTAGTTGCTCTATATTAAGAATTTTGTACAAGGTATATACCTATATATTTTGGCTTGGTGTGGTCTAATTTAGATAGTGAAAAACGTGTACGTAAGAACTTTTTTGGGCAACAGATAGTTTGTTAATTAAATATTTGGCCGTGCTCCCCCAAAAAATATTCCCATAGGTTAGATATGGAAAAAAGAGGATATAGTACAACGTTATCATAACTGGTAACGTTAGTTTATTGCGTGCTCTATATATTATTCCATTAACTCTATATAATTTTGCTAGGATCATTTCAATATATTTCGACCATTTCAAATCACTCTGTAACATGATACCCAAGAATTTTATTGAATGAATACGTGGTAGGATTACATCACCAATTTTTATAGATAGGTTATTAAACATGACATTGTTGGTTTTTATTTTAGGGCCAAACAAAATGTAACAAGATTTTTTCAGATTTAAAGGTAATTTATTATTTCTAAAAAAATCATAGTATCTATCCAATTGCTCATTCATGAGAGGAAACAAATTAACAGGATTACTGTCTGTCAAAAATATATTGGTATCGTCTGCAAAAAGAATTGTTTTACAATGGCTAAAAACTGAAAAGATATCATTTATAAACAGGATGAATAGCAACGGGCCTAATATCGACCCTTGAGGGACTCCTGTACGAATATTGCATAATGAAGATTCCACGTTGTCAATAGATACATATTGTTTACGATCTGCTAAATAAAACTTAAACCAAGCAAGTGTGATACCACGACATCCATTTACAGACAGCTTGGATAGTAAAATTTCGTGGTTAATGAGCCTTACTTAAATCCACAAAAATGCCCAATGTAAATTGTTTGGATTCAAAGCCCTTAATTAAGGAACCATAGAATTCAGCAATTGCCAGTTCAGTTGATGCTTTGGGGACAAATCCAAATTGGTTTATATTAATTACATTAAATTCTTTCAAATAATCCCAAAACCTTAAAAAAATTATTTTTTCAAAAATCTTGGAGAAAACAGGGGGTATTGAAATTTGTCTGTAGTTGAAAAATGATTTATCGCAATATTGGAATTTTGTTGTATAAACCGGGTAAATTAAGTTTAAAAAAAAATAAAATAGATAACGAAATTAATTTTGGAATTTGAAAATATGGCCATATCACTTACAATTTAATGAGCGAAATGAACTAATTTTTAAACCGATTTAAAAACTTTAAAATCAAACTTATGTCTAAAAAGAGCGAGTTAAACGAATTCGGCCAACTCTCGTGTAGTATTTACATAATAATAAATAATAATATTAATAATAATAAAAACAAAACAATGTTAATATTTACCTAATAATATTTTTATTGATGTGATTTCCGTTCTGGATGATCAAAAAATAGAAATAATTTATAACTTTTTTGTCAATTTTCCAAAACTCGCTCCATCAATCATCCTCATCCTCGCTTCCACATCAACTTCCTTCTCCCATTTTTTTTTACACTTTTTGGCAACTTTTTGAGTAATTTTTAAATTATTTTTTGGATTTTTGATCAGTCGTTGATGATGTCATCTTCATAATTTCGTCGTTGCCATTATCATTTGAGTACTAGAAACTCACATTTTTACTTCCATCTGCTCCTTTCTTCAGTCATTTTTCTTTCTTTTTGATTTTATTTGTTTGCCTTTTTTGATCTGTCTATTTCTTTATTCTTTTTTTTCTTTCTATCTTTCTGCGCTCTCTTAGGCATTTTAACTCCATTTAAAAAATCGAACATACAATCTTACACCTTTGCCTGAAAATACACTTGAAGACTCTCACTCACTCACTCACTCACTCACTCACTCACTCACTCACTCACTCACTCACTCACTCACTCACTCACTCACTCACTCACTCACTCACTCACTCACTCACTCACTCACTCACTCACTCACTCACTCACTCACTCACTCACTCACTCACTCACTCACTCACTCACTCACTCACTCAGATTCTGACGAAGGACTCGGTGACGGTGGCGGTGGACGCTGTGGTGTACTACAGGATCTCCAACCCCATGGTCTCCGTCATCAACGTCGAGAACGCAGCCCGGTCCACCCAACTCCTCGCCCAGACCACCCTCCGAAACATCCTCGGCACGAAAACTCTGAGCGAGATATTGACTGACAGAGAGAGTATTAGTAGTATGATGCAGGTGCAAATGGATGAATGAATAGATAAAAAAAGACAAATGAATGAATAAATGAATTTATGAATGAACGAATGAATAAATGAAAGAATGAAAGAGAAAATGAATGAAAAAAAAATTGAATAATGGGTGAACAGTGAATAAATAAGTGAACGAATGAATGAGTGGGAAAAAATGAATTAATGCAGCTTTCAGCTCAGGAACATTTTGGGGACAAAAACTTTGAGCGAGATATTGACTGATAGGGAGAGTAACAGTAGAGTGATGCAGGTGCAATTGCATGGATGGATGGATGGATGAACGAAAGATGGGTGGATGGTTGAGTAAATGGAAAAATGAATGAATAAATGTATGAGCGAATGAATGAACGAGAAAAAAAATGAATGATGGGTGAATGAATAAGTAAATGAATCATCATGCTTATGACATATTCACAGATAGAGAGTATAATATTTGTGTAATAGAAAAACGATTGGCTTGAGCAGGATGGCCGAACGAACTAACAAATGAATGAATGAATGAATGAAAGGATGAAAGAATGAATGAATAAATGAATGAAAGAATGAAAGAATGAATGAATGAATGATTGAATGAATGAATGAATGAATGAATGAATAAATGAATGAATGAATGAATGAATGAATGAATGAATGAATGAATGAATGAATGAATGAATGAATGAATGAATGAATGAATGAATGAATGAATGAATGAATGAATGAATGAATGAATGAATGAATGAATGAATGAATGAATGAATGAATGAATGAATGAAAATGATTAGATAAGTTAGTTTGACTGAGTTACTGAATGAATTAATTAAAAAGATGGAAGCATGAATAGGTGAATGATTAACGGATAAAAATAAATATATATGCATATGGATGAATGATTAAATAGATGAATAAAAATAATTCTAAATATTATTGATGATTAAATGAATAACAAATAATTATTAAAAAATTATAATTATCACTGATGTTTTAATGATTAAAAAATAATTGTCTTCCTAAAGCACGTGCTAGATGAAGGAACCGATCCGTGGGGAGTGCAAGTCGAGAGAGTGGAGATGTGAGTGGATGGCTGGACGGATGGATAGATGGATGGATGGATGGATGAATGGATGGATAAATGTATGGATGGATGAATGAATGAATGGATGGATGTGTGGATGGATGGATAGATGGGCCATCGTCATCAAACGCATGAACAATAACATCATTATCCTCATTTACAACAACATCCATCTCATCAACACAACCATTCACATCAACAACAACAAAATCAACATCAACAACAACATCAACAAAATCAACAACAAACAAAATCAACAACAACATCATCAACAACAACATAAACAACAATACCATCAACATCAACACTATCATTATCATGATCGTGATCATCATCGCCAACAACATCATCATCATCACCAGCAAAGACGTCCGCTTACCAATTCAGCTACAAAGGGCAATGGCAGCCGAAGCAGAAGCTACAAGAGAAGCTAAAGCTAAGGTATCTATCATTATTATCATTATCACCATTATTATTATTATCATTATTATTATTGTTATTATTATTGTTATTGTTGTTATTAATGTTTGAGCAACGCAATGTTGTAAGGCTTGAACTCTCTGGATTCGAAAGCCTGTCACACGTGCAATGTGTGATGCCTCGATTCTTGCATCATCAGTATCTTTGTCCTCGTCCACAAATTTCATCGTCATCATCATTATTTTATATATCATCATCATCATCATTTTTATCATCATCATCATCGTCGCCATAATCATCATCATCAACAACGACATCATCATCATCATCATCATCACCATCCTCCCCCTCCCCCTGTTAATCGTCCTGGGATGTATAGCAAATAATTTAATTGACTGAGTACCCTTGAGACTTGACAGATGACTATGATGATGATGATGATGATGATGATGGTGGTGGTGGTGATAGTGATGGTGATGACGACGATGATGATGATGGTGACGATGATGATTGTTATCAAAGTTATGAAATTGATTGTGATGGTGAGACGATCGTTACGATGATTATAACGATTAAAAGATTAATGATGATGATGATGAAATGATAATTGTGATGAATGAAAGAAGAAGATTATGATAATGATGTTGATGACCATTGATGATAGCCATGATGGTGGTGATGATGATATGGACCAGGATGAACTTCAATCAGATAACACGAACATTATCGAAAAATGAACAAATAATTTTTTTATTTTTTTTTATTATTTATTTATTATTATTTTTTTCTTATTACTATTATCATTGGTGCTCTTTCTAATCCATAGTATCAATAAAATCACATCATTTCAAAAAATCTGAAACAACAACACCAACTATGATAACAACAACAACCATTATCACCACCATCACAATAACAACAACAACAATAATAATAATAATAAATAAAATTATAATAAAATAACTATAATAAACATAATAAGCGCCTAATTCACTTACTTGCGGGCGCATGTGAGGCCTAATTATGACGTACTTACCTATCCACCTACTCACATGCATGTTCTCGCATAAAACTTCATCAGCTGTTGAAGAATACGAAACGAATCATTCCGATACTGCACGATACCACATGCATTTTAATACGAGACGACAGTATGCAGATTTCAAAACGAAACAATGCTCATCCATTTTATATGTGCTAAACAAATGTATGAATGCTTGAGACAAAATATACATACACAACTGCATGCAAACAAACAAGCAAACAAACATACATACATACAAACAAACATATATACATACTTACATCATCTTGGTTGAAGGTGGTCGCAAATTCCGCCTGTGGTACCAGGCTGGACGACTCTTGAGTTCGTGTCAGTTTGGGATTGAGACTCGGTTTACCCATTTTAACCGAGTATGTTTGTTTATGTGGGGCCAATGTTGAACCCCTGGGCTACCATGGTCTTTTGTGTCGATTGGGCCCTGGTAGACAGGCTTGACACTCGGCCATGAACGACTTTTTGGTCAGGTGCTTTCAGAGGTCAAACATACCCACGATTAAAGAACCCACGGGTCTTATGGAGGAAGGTAGTCTCAGGCCCGATGGGTATACTATTTCACCATGGGCGCAGGGACGTTCCCTTGCTTGGGATGTTACGTTCCCTCACACCATGCCTGAAAGGTACATTAATCTTACCTCACTCACACACACACATACATACATGCATGCATACATACATACATACATACATACATACATACATACATACATACATACATACATACATACATACATACATACATACATACATACATACATACATACATACATACATACATACATACATACATACATACATACATACATACATACATACATACATGCATACATACATACATACATACATACATACATACATACATACAAACAAACACACATATTTACATACATACATACATACATACATACATACATACATACATACATACATACATACATACATACATACATACAAACAAACATACACATGTTTATTGTCGATTCATCCCTTTTCCCATTGGAACAATACAAAACTAACATCATTGTACTAGAAAGGATTGTAGTAATAATAATATTGAAAATAATGAAATAATAATAGAAATAATAATAATATAATAATTATAATAATAATAATTGTTGTTATTATTAATATAATTTAAATTATAATAGTAATAACATAAAAAAAACAACAACAACAATAACAATAATAATATTACAAGAAGGACAAGAGTGACGCCAACAACGATAATAGAAATAATAATACTTAAAAATAATAACAACCCAATTTATAATTATAATAATAAATAGAAATTTTATTTTCTCCTCCAACGGGGGTAGTGATGTTCCAGTGGAGGCGCCGAAGACTGGAGGTGGCAAAATAAATAGGCAAAGGCGAGATGAAATATTTCACCCGAATAATCATTTCTCCTCTTAGCTTTTAAAGACCTGTCTGAAAATGCTGACACTCACGCGGTGCTGAACTGTTTGCTTCAACATGTTAAAGGTTGTAATTTTATACTAATTTTTTTGGCTAAATTGCCCGGATTCTTCTATAAGTTTCACAACATAGCATTGAATGCGGAGAAGAGCGGTTGGCAACAAAGGAATGAAAAGTTACATGGAAATGTAATAGAAACCCGAAAAAATCAGATGTGAAGACAGATAACTGATGAGAGATTGTTTCATGCTGGATTACGAGCAGTCGAAAAAGAATTTAGTCGCTTTTTATGATTAGTTATCGGCGGGCGAATCAGTCCAGGAGATGACAAACTGGTGTGGTCGTTTCAAGACGTTAAATAAAATATAATATTTGGATTTCCTTTCGACATCAGCAATCTTCTTGCCACTGATACTTCTCACAATGTTTAACAACACCGTTCCCAGACCTTTGGTTGAACTCTATGAAACTTATGTAAATGGAAATGAACTACTTGTAGAAATCAGTGATTGCATTGTTGCTGAAACCTGAACAGGCGATCTCACAGAAGAACATTTTCACTCATTATATATCTTGATAATGATGTATTTCTAAAACTGCAAAATGTTTTAAAAATTATGCCGACAGTTTTTGCATGCGTTGCAAGCTGTGAAACTAAAACTCATTTAAATCTTTTAAAGTTTAAAGGGTTGAAACTTTTTCTGACTGCATATTTCTGAAGAAACTGTTTAGCACAATTAAATTTGACAATCAACATGGACGACTTGCCGGGACAGAGCTACGAATAAAATCAAACTGCTGCTTAAGAGTGCCCGCGTTAACTTTCTTTTCTTACGCTAATCGAATGTAATTGTAAGGGGTGTTTCTTTGCTATGCTGTGTGAATATAATACAATTAAATACTCTAAATTAATTCGAAAGTGAGTATCAAAACTTGTAGTTCGGAATCCCCCAACAAAATATTGTCATGGAAATAACTACTATTCTAGCAGAGAGTGAATACACGATTAACATAATAAGTCATCGATCTACATAACAATGTGTATGAACGTTTTGCATTGGGGTGGGCCAACGAACCTTGCTCTGCAAGCCACTAAATATATAGATTCTCATAGAGACATATTATCATCGTCAGCTGCAGTATTGTCCCATCAATTTTACCATCGTCATCATCATTATCATCATGTTTGGATGGAAAAGATTTAAAATAAAAATTTATGTTTATTTCTTGCACTTTCCATAAGATTGTCGAGTTATGTGTTTGTTGTTGGTTTGTATGTATGTATGTATGTATGTTTGTATGTATGTATGTATGCATGTATGTATGTATGTATGTATGTATGTATGTATGTATGTATGTATGTTTGTATGTATGTATGTATGTATGTATGTATGTATGCATGTATGTATGTATGTTTGTATGTATGTATGTATGTATGTATGTATGTATGTATGTATGCATGTATGTATGTATGTATGTATGTATGTATGTATGTATGTATGCATGTATGTATGTATGTATGTATGTATGTATGCATGTATGTATGTATGTATGTATGTATGTATGTATGTATGTATGTATGCATGTATGTATGTATGTATGTATGTATGTATGTATGTATGTATGTATGTATGTATGTATGTATGTATGTATGTATGTATGTATGTATGCATGTATGTATGTATGTATGTATGTATGTATGTTTGTATGTATGTATGTATGTATGTAT